TTACTTAGTTATAAATATGGCTTCATTAGTCATACCACATTAAGACAATGTACTCATTTTTCCCCATGTTATGATAATTATCATGAATTGCTCATTCTGTGATATTAGTACCTCTCTTTTCAAGAAAAATAGTATTTACCTGTATGTATATAGTATCTACATTTGAAATAAATGTGGCAAAAATGTTTTAAAAAAATCAACATAGGGCTGGTGCCATGGCTCACTTGGTTAATCCTCTGTCTATGGCGCTGGCATCACATATGGGTGCCGGGTTCTAGTCCCGATTGCTCTTCTTCCAGTCCAGCTCTCTGCTGTGGCCCAGGAGGGCAGTGGAAGATGGCCCACTTCTGGGAGACCAGTAAGAAGCACTTGGCTCCTGGCTTCAGATCAGTGCAGTGCCAACCATGGCGGCCATTTGGGGAGTGAACCAATGGAAGGAAAACCTTTCTCTCTGTCTCTCTCACTGTCTATAACTCAACCTGTCAAATAAATTTAAAAAAAATAAAACATAAAAAACATCAACATAAAAGTCACTATCATTGCTATACAATAGTGAATTTTCTGAAAAAAAAAAATCAAAGAAGAAACCAAATTTTCTAATAGCTACTAAAAAAATACATATCTCGATATAAATTTAACCAAGGAATTAAAAGAGCTCTACAATAAAAACTATAAAACATGGATGAAAGAAACCAAAGAGGACACAATGAAATGTAAAAACATCCTGAGTTCTTGGATTGGAAGAATTAACACTGCTAGAATGGACATACTGTCCAAATCAAACTACAAATACAGTGAATCCCCATCAAGATATCAATGACATTCTTCACATAGCTAGAGAAAATAATCCTGAATTCCAGGTAAAATGAGAAATTCCAAATAGCCTAAGCAATCTTGAAAAAAATGAACAAAGAAGAGGCATTACACTGACTAACTTCATACTGTATTACAAAGACTTGGAAATGAAAATAGCAAAGTGATGACTTAAAAACAGACACATGGACCAATGGAACAGAATAGACAGCATAGAAGTAAACCAATACCTCTATAGCCAGCTGACCTATGGCAAAGGTGCTAAGAACATGCATTAAAGACAAGACAGACTTTTTAATAAATGGCCCTGGGAAAATTGGACATTCACAAGCAGAAAAATGAAATTAAACCCATATTTCTCACCATGCACAAAAATCAACTAAAAATTGATTTTGAGTTGACCTGAAAGTAGGGAACTCCTAGAAGAAAACACCTAGGGGAAATACTAGGACATCAGAGTGAATGAGGATTTTTTGGATGAAACCCCAAAAGCACAAGAAACAGAAGCAAAACTAGACAACTGGAATTTCATCAAACTAAAAAGCTTCTACATAGCAAAGAGAACAATCAACACAGTGAACAGAAAGCCACAGAATGGAGGGAAATATTTGCAAATCATATATCTGGCAAGGGGTTAATAACCAGTAAAAATAAGGAATTCAAACAATAGCAAAATCAAATAAAAAGCCTACCAAATAATTGTGTTTTAAAATGGGTAATAGGTATAAATAGTTTCAAGAAAAACATATAAATCACTAACAGTCCATGGAACAAAATGATAAGCATTACTAAAGATCAAGAGAATTCAACTGAAAACTGCAACATCACCTCACTCTAGTTAGATTGGTTATTAACCCAACACAAAAAGGTAACAAGTGTGGTGAGGTTATGGAGAAACGAGAACCCTTGTACAGTGTGGGTGGGAATGTAAATTAATATGGAAAACAGTGAGAAGTTTTCTCAAAAAATTAAAAATAGAACTACCAAATGATCTAGCAACCCCACCATGGGGTGTATATTCAAAGGAAATCAGCTTGTAGAAGAGCTATCTGCATTCACACGCTCACTGCTGAATTATCAAGATAGTTCATTGATGAAGTGTCAAGATAGGTCTCAACCTAAGTGTCCAACACCTGATGAACACATAAAGCAAATGTAGTACAAGTATACAATGGAATATTATTTTCCCCTTAAAAGGAACAAAATCCTATCATGTGCTATGTGCAGATGGAACTGAAGGTTATTATGTAAATAGGAAATAAACCAAGCACAGAATGAAATGTATTTCACTATTCCATTCATGTGGAATCTACAAATGTTGATCTTAATGAAACTGAGAGTAGAACGGTAGTTTAGGAGACTGGGGAGAGTAGCAGGAATGGAGAGACAAGGAAAAGTTGATTGACGGGTACTAGACTGCAGTCGCAGAGGACAAAGAAGTCCTGGTGTTCTATTGTACAGTAGGGTGAGTATAGATTACAATAATGTACCACATATTTTCCTTACCAAAAAACCCCAAGTTTGCACCATAAAGAGAGGACAGGTTTACCCTGAACTGAACATTACACAATACATTGCATGTATCAGGACATTATGGGGTACTTCCATAAATATGGGCAACTTTACATAGACATTAAAAAACTATAAAGTTTTTAAAAATCTTTTAAACGTACAGAGATGAGAAAAACATCCTAACTATCAGAATATGAGATGTACATCATAAATTAAAGAATGAGCTTATGGGGCTGGAGGGACTCACTTTAGTTAGTGTCATCAGAAGAGCATATTACCCAAAAAGTGTATTTCCTTCATTCATTTTTATTCATTCATTCAACAAACAGGTTTATTTGCAAAATACCAGGTGCCATTACACGTTGGGGATGCGGAGGTGAAAGTCTGGAAGGTGCAGTCTGGATTAACAGGGAGCACCCAGGCAAAAGGGGGAGACGGTAAGTAAAGCGACAGATGACAGCACAGCCTGACAAACAGCGTTACTGAGCAGACTTGTGCCAAATGCCTTGTCTGTATCTGTACTGGTTTGGATGAGGAAAGATATCATTCACACCACCCTTATGCCTGAGGACCTCACTATGATAGTAGGCAAAACAGACCAATGGCAACAGCTAGGTCTGCGTTTCCTGAAGCCTGATGCATAGAAAAAGCAATAGTTTTTGTGGTAAACCTATCAATTTTTAAAATATGAGAAACATAAATTTTCATTAACACAGCTAAATAGTAGTGTGCACTGGCCACTTACCTAGTTTAAAATCCATTTAATTTAGAAAGAGTGAAAGTAATCCCAACATCTAGTTAAAATACTTCATTAAGCTTTGATTGTTATTGGTTCATAATTACTGTTTCTTTTATCTCTACCTTGAACAGTTTTCATGGAATTAACTGAACCATAATAACCAGGGCTTTTTCCCCCTTCTTTTTTTTAAATTTTATTTAAGTTATACAATTTTCACGTATTTCGCACATACAGATTTAGGAACACAGTGATGCTTCCCCCCACCCTCCTTCCCACCCATGCTCCAACCCTTCTTCCTCCTCCTCTCCTATCCCCACTCTTAATTTCTACAAAGATCTATTTTTCAGTTTACTTTCTGCATGTAAGGTTAACCCTCTAGTTAATAATATGAAGAAGAAAACACTGTTCCTCAACAGAAGGGCCATAAACAATCACCAAATCTCAACACATCCTTTTACTCCAATATATTACATTTTGGATACTCTACTAGTTGCCTCAAATCAGGAAAAGCATATGATACCTGTCTTTTGGAAACTGGCTTATTTCACTAAGTAGAATGATTTCCAGTTGCATCCATTTTGTTGCAAAAGACAGGATTGCAATTTTTTTTTTACAGCTTAGTAGTACTCCATAGAGTATGTATACCATAATTTCTTTGTCCAGTCATCAGTTGATGGACAGCTGGGTTGATTCCATATCTTAGCTATTGTGACTTGAGCTGCAATGAACATGGGGGTACAGATAGCTCTTTCATATGCTGATTTCTTTTCGTCTGTTCCCCTACTCTTACATACAGCTTCCACTTGCTTTGGATGTTAAAGCCGCTTTTCTCGCAAATGTGTGTAGGCAACTTCTTCCAACCCACTACTGTCGTTAGAGAAACAGTACAGCTATTTCTTCTCAATTCAATTTACAACGATAAACATGTACCAAACGATCACCAAGAGACTTTAAGATACAAAGGTGAGTAAATCACAGTCCATTGCTTCAATGAGTTTGTAATGTACAATGGAGTTCCAGGAAGTTTAAAGAAAAAAAAGAGGCAATTGCCTGGTCAGGGAAAATTATCATTATGTGCCCAAATAGGCTTCCAAATTATCCGCGTGCTAAGAATGATGCTTCATTAAGTTACTCATTTCTCTGCTTCTGGCAACTCAGCCAGAGGGAAAAAAATAGCTCTTTGATTGCACATGTTGTTCCTGACCCATATAAAATCCAAACAAATACTCTTCTACAGGAACAAAGAAGTCTTTTCTTCATCACCAGGCAAATGTCCTTTAGCTTCTGTCCTCCAACAGGTGTCTGAATACTGTCAGTCCATCACACTCAAGTTACCAGCTCACTACAACACATCTCTTTGCCAGTCTCTCCCACAGGGGTTGCGCCCCTGTTTACAACAGAGGGTATTTTCCATACTTTCACAAGGTTATGCATGAGTTATATGTGGGTGTTGTGTGTGCGTAATATAATCACACATGAATATAAATGTGTGTATATATACATATATTTAAAATTCCAATTATTAAATATAAAACCTCCTACATACTAGACAAACCCAGTCTCCAGAAGCTCAGAATCATCAAAGGAAATAAAATAAATAAAGTCAGTGTAACACTAACACCTTCTTCCAAACAAATTAATGTTGTTTGTATACAAGCCTTGTTTATTTATTAGGTTTCTGCACTATGTAGTAGACGAACAGGAATTTTGTTTATAATTTCTGAAGACCCTGTGAAATAAATTTACCTTTAGGATTTTCATGCATTCCCCATGAAATTTGGTAGAAGATGAAGATTTACCAACTTGTTCTTTCGAAAAAACATTGTCAAAGTAATTTTAAAGATTTGCAACCGTGTTTCCTATATGCAGCTGATAAGCAACAACAGCAATAACAGCACCTCTCCCTCAATGACCGCCCTTGGTCACAGAGACTTACCCAGATGCTGTCCTCCTGCCGATACTGTTTCCAGTTCCTGCCACTGTCACTGAACATCAGGAGGTAACTGGTCACCCAGTTGGAGCTCCCGTAACCCCCTTGGGTAGCCACAGAGGTGATCTCCATTCTCTCTCCAAGGTCAATCTGCAACCACTGGTATTTGTTCGACACAAGTGGAGACCAGCCACCGGCTCCTTTCATGATAACAGAAGGAGAAGAAAATGGGAAAAGAGGGATTAGGTGAAAAAGTCTACTTAGAGTCAAAATGCCAGTAGCTGTCATTCCTTTACGACACTTAAGAAAGTTAAATTTTCAAAGTATGAAACTCTCATAATTATAGAAAAATATATAGAACATTAAGAATTTCTTGTAAACAGAGAGAACTTGTATGTTAATTATGTTCACTTCCAGGCCCCCAGCTTTGAGAGAACAAGTGGTCTCCCCAAATGTCTGAAGTGCTTAATTAAGTGGCTGTGCAACATTGTCAACACTGGGAGCTAGCATGCTTGCTGCCCACCAGCGTGAATCAGGAATGGTTTGGACTTTGATCCCTTTGCCCAGGGCTGGGTACAGGGAATGCCGCCTACTGCTGGTGAAAGCAGACAATACCTTTGATTGTTGAGATTTCTTGGAGAAGCAAGTAGAGTGTATGGTTAAACCTTGTGAAACAAAAGACAGTCAAGAACAGTCCTTGCCCTCCTAGTGTTTATAATTTTAGGAGAGGGATGGACATCCAAAAGCTGTCCACGGCACATGTGAAGGGGCCGGCATTGCAGTAGAGCGAATAACGCCGCCCACAACTCCAGTTCATGTCCCAGCTGCTCCACTTCGACCCAGTTCCCTGCTAACAGCCTGGGAGAAGCAAAAGACGGCTGAAGTGTTTGGGCCCCGCTATCCTCATGGAAGACTGCATAAGCTCCTGGCTTCAGCCTTGCCCAGCACTGGCCATTGTGGCCACTGGAGGAGTGAACCAACAGATGGAAGATCTCTCTTCCTCTCCCTCTCTTCTCTATGATTCTGACTTCCAAAATAAACAATCAAATCTTTCAAAAAATATATGAAAAGTGTTAATAGTGAGGCATGTGCAGAGAACCGTAACACAATAAAAGATGGAGAGTTCTACGTCATGGTGGATTGGAGCCGGCTTGCAACAGTGCCTGGGAGCTAACTGTTTAAGTTTCAGTTCTGTAAGCCGGGTATGAAGTAACCATCTTCGAAACTGGCCAGGGTGGAAGCTTTGGACCATGGAAAGCAGGGAACTCTACAAACAAGCACCTGTTCGCACCCCAGCTAGTTTAGCAGCACAACACTGGCTCCATCCTACCTGGGGAGGGAAGGCAGCAGGCGAGAGGGGGCGGGAAGCGAGACCCGGGAAAGCATCATGCACCAAGTGCAGCTTGAGCACTTACAAGGGAAAGAGAGCAGTCTGACACATAGTCAAAGCCGTCGAGTGGAAGGGACTGTTTCATTTCACCAGGCACGCGGGATATTATAGATGTGCCTCCCACACACCATAACATGGTCCATTAATCATGACAAACACGTTATTCTAACAGGATATGTTGATGATAGGGAAAGCTGGGCGTGGTTTATACATTGTGACAAACACATCCTACAACACAGGGTGTTAACAATGAGGAGACGGTGTGGGGGATGGGGGAACTCTGTGCTCCTTCGCAATTTTTGATTTGTGAATTTAAAACTCTTTCGAAATAAAATGTTTTTGAAAAGTGCTCAAAAAACGAAACCAAAAGGTGGACTTCTCTTGGTGCAAATATTCTGAAATTCATTCACTGTTTTTTCAGAACGTGCATTTTCAAAAAGCTTTTGCACCCAAATAAACATCTTTTACCTCCATTTTCCGCAAATTTTGTAAAGCCTATTCATAAGAAAAGATGGCTCACTCTCCCAGTTTAATATAATTTTGGCCATTATTTGGGGAATTTATTTAATATTGAGATAACTAATTATGTAAGTATTATATAATCATTGAAAAAGTTATGAAATTGGGTTTGACACATTCTTGAATCCATATTTATCTGATATTTGGAGCCTATTAAAATGCAACAGCTGAAGTCGGTGTTGGGCACAGAGTTTAAGGTGCTGCTTTGAGATGCCTGCACTCCATATCAAAGTGCCTGTGATGGGCTCAGGCTCCAGTTCCACCTCGTGACGCACACCCTTGGAGGCAGCAAGAGACGACTCAGGTAATTGGGCCCCTGCCACCATGCTGGAGACCTGGATTGAATTCCAGACTCCTGGCTTTAGCCTGGTCCCTGTTTGTAGGTATTTGGAGAGTTAAACAATGGATGGGAATCTCTCTCTCTCTCTCTCTCTCTCTCTCTCTCTCTCTCCTCTCTAAATTAAAAAGTACATAATTTAAAATGAACCTTCTATGGCATAAGCCTCCCCAGTAAGAATATCAGCCTTTGTTCCCCGCTCTGCTGTCACCCACAACAGGCTTTAATAATACGCTCTAAATTTTTAGAGAAAGGTTATTACTAATTTATACACAGTTTTTAACTCGAGCATTATTTTGGCCATCCGTGTGTTATGAAACCTCGAGTACAGGCCCTAGTTCAAAGAACCGCTCCGTGCCTGCTTTCTCTTCCTCTGGATGGCATGCCGCTGGGAAACCTGGAGAGACACACCCGTGTGGACAACCAGCTCCTAAGATTTAAAGATTCCTTTGATGATGGAACACAGCACCAGGGCACTGGCATGTAGGAAAGGCAGAACTCTTTGTGACATACAACTGCAAACAGCAGAAGGGCACCAGGCGGCCACACGCATGGCCTGGCACCAAGGAATCAGATAATAAGCTGGAGCTGTAGGAGGCAGCTTACCTACGGCAAGTGGAGAGGGTTAGCTAGGTTCCCTGTGGATTGGCTCGTTTGGAAAACATCTCCAGAGGCTCTGGGGCACAGTGAGTGATCTCTAGCTGTCTGTTACCTGGCTCTAGCACAATTGCATAGAGGCCCTGAGAGTGAGAATGTACTACAGGATGTGACAAGTATGGACAGTATCAGCTGCTCCAGTGGAAACTCATCAGCATCTAGCCAGGGCCTCAAAACTGAGTCAAAACAGCGTATTTTCAAAAGATACACAACAGTGCTTTCTCTTGACAGCGCCACACTGGCTGCGGCCTGCATTAGGATTTAATCCCCAAGATTACTGACTATCTTGTCATAAGAATTAAACACTTCTTCAAATTTCCTGTTTCTTCAAGTGTCTTCCATTCCATGTATAAAAAGGACCACGTTCTACCTCTCTTTCAAATCTAGGGTATTTCGCACACACTGCAGTATTTGTGGCTGTATTTTTACCATCCATTTTCTCAGTATTTGACATTGAACCTGTGGTGGCTGACGGAGTTTTCTTGGTCACCAATACCATCAACCTTGATTAGGTTAGAGTAGATTATTCTCGTATTTTAAGCAAGAGAGTTTGTTGGGTAGACATGGACCCTAGTTGAATTTGGGGTATGCTAGTGTCATTTGCTTACCTCTGCTGTCTGCCATTCACAAGGGTCCTTTCCTATACACACAGCCACTTATCTACAAGGAATTTGTTCCGGAATGATCTAAAGCACCTGAAATTAATACCTAAGGGAGTTCTTGAACCTGCAGTGGACACTGCTCCTTTTTGGATGATTTTCAAATCTGAGTGAACACTTCCTCCATAGCTCATGTCCTGGGATCTGATGAAACAAGATCCGCCTTCCTCCAGTTACTCTACTACATTACAGCTTAATGTTGACTGAACTGGTACTTTGTGTCAGACACTCTGGGAAGACATTGCTCATTCTCAAAATGACCATTTGCAGATGATGAGTCAGATACACCTTGTCCTTGTCCATGGAGTTGGCAGAAAGGCACAGAGCTCTGACCCACACAGAACCTTAAAAATCAAACCAAGATGGAGTGACCTAAGCCAATACCATTAAAAACAAGAAGTCACCTTTGCCCCAAATAAAATTAAAGTTTAAATATTACAGCCCTAAACTTTTTCCCCCAAAGCTAAAATTAGGTGCAGCTATAAAAATAAGGGACCCTACGCTTAGCTAGCTGCGACACTTGTGCCTGGCTGTGCTAAGACCTAACCCAGTTTGTATGCCTCCTAATACTCAAATAACGGTGTGGGAAGCGGGATGCCGCTCTCCCACAAGGGGAACAAAGGGAGCGAGACGTCGTCCCCCTCAGGGTGAACAAGATGGCACTGGCAGAGAAAGGAACTACTAAAGAAGTAAACAACAAAATGGCGACGAGGTGCATGCCTCCCATGTGATCCCGTAGCTGATTGGATAGAAGATGCATGCCCTTCACATGATCAGCTCGCGGATTGGACTGCTGTGTGCATGTGCTTTTGATTGGTCGCTGCGGGTATATAAACCGTCTGGCTTTGTGCTGGGGGCGCTCTCTGGACTCCCGAGTTCAGGAGGCCCATCTGCACAGACGCCGAATAAATCCTCTTGCTTTTGCATCAGCTGGTCTGGACTCTGAGTCTTTGGGGTGTGCCTCTCGACGTGTTAGCATCCTCACTCCGAGGGTCTAACAGGCCTTCCTCCAGTTACTCTACTACATTACAGCTTAATGTTGACTGACCTGGTACTTTGTGTCAGACACTCTGGGAAGACATTGCTCATTCTCAAAATGACCATTTGTAGATGATGAGTCAGATACACCTTGTCCTTGTCCATGGAGCTGGCAGAGAGGCACAGAGCTCTGACCCATACAGCAGTGCCTTTCAAATTGTCATGATGGATGACAGTGGCTTCCAGTGGAGGCAGCAAAGGTGGTGCTAATGAGGATAAGGGAGCCTCAGGACGTAGCTACCAGGCAGTAGGGTCAGCTCCTCTCCCTCCAGCTAAAAATGCACCATGTCTCTAAGTACAGGAACATGATGGGGGTCGTGAATGGGTGCATAGTTCCTTCCAGTGTCCCATTTAATCTTAGTGTTCCACCACATGACCCATCCAGGCTACAAGTCTGGGGTCTGACATTAATCAAGCATCCTTGGTTCTGTGATTGCCACAGCTGCCTGTCTCTTAGTATACTGCTTTTTTCACTTTTTACAATGGAAAGCAAGGAAAGGGGGGGGGGGGTGAAGTGTCTTCAACCAGCCATTTCAACCTGGAAGTTCAATGCTTGGATTCTTGTACCTCTGAGAAAATGAAGAGAATGATGATATTTTG